ACATTCTACACATAATTCAATATTTATTCCATTAAAAATATGATAATAATTCCATATATTGCTATTTTTTTAGGAAGTACTTCCATTTTGATTTGTGTATAAATTATCTTTACAAGTAGGATCTTTATACCATCCTTTAGGATTTAATAAACAATCTAGACAGGTCATAATTTTTTAATTTATTATTCCAAGACTACAATATTAATGATAACAATACCAATCATAACATAATCCATCTAACTCAAATTATCCATATTTACATTCCTCTCTCTATTCTTCATTGATTATTAATTAAAAATTCAACTCTTAATAACTCTTACAATCATAATCATCAATTGCATAATAGGGACAAATGCATTATTTATAATTTGGAAGATAAATCCTTTATGAATCTTAAGAACATGATAAACAATCTTCTTTGTAGGACCATCACAAACTTCACAACTATGATGACAATTTTATTATTAAAAATGTGTATCACAATTAAAGAAATATAAATTTCTACTCATTATATTTAAATAGTTATTTGCTGACTTGAAACAATTACCTAATAAAAGTTTAAAATATGTTTGATGAAATTGATTCACCATTACTTACATACTATATTCATATACTTATTTGTTATCATAAAATTTAATATTAACGTAAAAATCATTCTCTATTAATCTTACATATACAAGATGCCATAATTATATATTATGGTTAATAATAAATTCTTTTGTTATTAAAAATGGGTTATTTGTAAAATCTAAAATTACAGATGGAAAATAATAACTATAACTTGTTATTATCAATTTCTTACTATCTTCCTAAATCATATAAAATAATTAAAATGGACACAAATTTTAATTTGATAACTAACTATTTTATAAATTTGATGATAACTTAATTAATTAATAAAACATTCCCTTATCATTCTGTATTATTTCTTTTATTTTAAACCATCCTGAAAATAGAAATTAATTACAATTAGAATATTTTGAAGTATATATTATTGTGTTAAGTTCTAAAAAATCTTAATCACCCAAATTATTTATAGGATTACTGTAACAATTACATATTTTTCTATCATGACTAAAATCAAGAGCAAACATAGTAAAATTTTTTATTGTATTATCATTCTCAGTCATAATTATCTAACCTGGAAATGATGAAAAAATTCTCCCCTTTTCAATATTTATTAATCTTGATTCTTCAACTTACAAACTTCCTCCTACTTTTTAAATCAATCTCACATTTGATAATGGAACTATATTTAAAATTTCATCCATAATTACTACTTCATTTTTTATTATTAATATCTAAAGTTATTTATTATATGGATTTATAATAAAATCAAAATAATACCATTAATTTTCATATTCAAAAGTACTTATATTGATTACAAAACTATATTACAAATAATCACTTCCTATAAATTATATATTTTTAGTGATAGTCATTTCTGTCTAATCTAAACAATCATAATGTAAGAAATTTAATTTTTTTGATTCTTTCTCAATAGAACTAAATAATTGATAACAATTGCTATCCAATACTCCAAATGATTCAGAAGAATATATTGAACTTAATGGAAGGAATTGAAACATGAGCTCCATCTATATACTTCAACTTATATCATAATTTCATCAATCATTTCAAATTCTTCTATCAAAAAAGGCTATTCAGGATTCAATCTTAATACATAGTCTGAATACACAATTTTTATTGTACAGATCAAGAAGTAAATAAATATCATATTAAAAATAATTTTAATTATCTCTAAAGTTTTATAAACAATTCAATGTCTTCTTTCTTAGAAATCTTAAGAAAAGAATTTAATCAACAAATTTGTTGGATTATAAACTTTCAAGTTGAAAAAATATTTATCTAGTGCGAGAAATGAAGTTTAACTCAAGAATGATAATAATCATTATTTAATAATTTTAATAGTATTGCTTCTTTAAACTCCATGAATTGCAGATAAAATTATGAATATTTTTTTTTCTTTATGTGTCTAATTGATATTAAAATTACTTAAGATATTTACTTTACATCAATCGTTTCAGTTGTGGGAATAGTATACACTTTATTAACTTCTTTTAACTCTAATTATAGAATAGAAGTAGGTAATTTTATCCAATTTTCTTTTTTGACTTGCTCTTTACAGTATTAATTATCCATGGCAAGTAAATCTTTTAAATTATTCTTTGAAAATAGATATTTGTAAATCGCAATACCTAAACACCATTTCCATAACTTGACACTAAAAATAATATTTTGTGTTTATACATTTTTCATGTATAGTAATTAGAGTATATTATTCTTTTAATCCTAATATTAATACAAATAAATTGAATTTTTTTTAAACATTTGTTGTATTCTTTTTTTAATATTTTGTACAAATGTTGTATCTATCACAGAAAATATTTATATTCTAATTATAGTTTGACTTATAAACCAATATTCCAATCTGTATCACTTATAAATAAACTGATTTAAAAATCTCAATTTTTTCAAAATGACGATTTTAACTTAAATTTTTAATTTTTTGCTTTATTTGATTGTCTAAATCAATTGTA